GGAGGCTCCTCAATCACCGCCTTCTCGAAGTACAACACTACAGGCGACGAGCTTTGGTGACTCCTGTCCACAGTCGCTCACTGCTAGCGCCAACGAATTTCTGCTTCTGAGTGGAGCTGCAGGCCAAACGGCAAAGGAATCTGAGAATTGTTTGACCGTCAACGTATGGGCACCGAGCTTGGATAGGAAACAAGGAGCAGCAGTCATGATATGGATTTATGGCGGAAGCTTCGCATATGGTACCGTAAGACTCTCAGTTCGAATCGAAATGATTTATGTAACACCTTACACCAGAGTAACTTCAAGTACTACCAGGGACAAAATTTGGTGCAAAACAATGATGATATCGTTGTCGTATCTTTGAATTACAGAACGAATATTTTTGGTCAACCAAATGCTCCGCAGCTCATCAGCACCTCCAAGTCGCAGAATTTTGGTCTATTGGACCAAAAGGCCGCCATAGAATGGGTGCATACTAATATCGCTGCATTTGGAGGAGATCCGGATCGGATTGTGTTGTTTGGCGAGAGTGCGGGAGCTCTCGCTGCTGACGCCTACATGTATGCGAATCCGAGCGATACGATTGTGAAAGGTGTGGATGCCGGTGCTCATGCGACCATATTAACCTAACATTGGTTTTCCCGTTGGAAGGAGTAATTCAAGAGTCTGGGAGGTCTGTCTGAGCGCCGTTAGAACTTGAAGCCGGTACATCCCACTCACGATCTTATTAGTCTTGCGGGGAATTCGCTACTAGCCCCTCAAGCGCCAACGACAACTACTGTGTCTTGGAACGAAGTCGCTACTTCAGTTGGCTGTGGTGCATGTAAAACTGCCTAAACCGTTAACGCTTTCAGATTGCTCACAGATCTGTGAGCAGTCATAACACCCCTACAATTTGATTGCATGCAGGTCATTCCTTTCCAAGTGCTTGAAAACGTTGTCATCACTGAAGAAGCCGCATTTGCGCCCGTCCCTGATGGTGAGCCCGTACATCCTCCAATAATATGACGTCAAACAAACACTGGTAGGCATCACTTACTTCTCAGACATAAATGCTCGCTCTGCAGCTGGCCAGTTCCTCAAGGTTCCACTTCTAGTTGGAAGCAATGCGCAAGAGGGTGATATCTTCGTCGTGGCTTTAGAAGAGTTGGATCTTGGAGGCACTATTCCTGGATTAACGCAAGAGGGAAGTGAGGAAGTAACGGACTTGATGTTCGACTGTCCGGCAAGCATAACTGCGGGGGACCGCGTGAAAGCTGGAGTACCCACTTTTAGGTATCTTTACGAAGGTATGTTTCGCGTGTCATCTTAAATATTTTTCCTCATTCGCTATTTCCAGCAATTTTCCCAGATCTATCTTCTCGCCCAGATCTTCGAGCTTACCATTCATCGGAAATACCAATTGTCTTCGGCACTTACAACTCCTCTACCTTTTCCGTTGCTCCTACTGCGGTAGAAATCGCTCTGTCGCAGTACGTTCAAGGGGCTTGGGTTGCCTTTGCTCGTGACCCTATAAACGGATTGATCGATTTTGGCTGGCCCACATATAACCCCGCCAGCTCGAGTATTGCTCAGCTCGGAAACGCCGCCAACCAGACGGGTGTGATTTTTGGAACTAGTGCGACATTCGATACCGGGTGTACAGCCGTTGAAGCCGAGCTCTCCTTGGGGGAGCAGGTGTTAAGCCTGTTGGGCGGATTCTTCTAGGGCCGACAAATTTTTTTAGCATCTGTGCTTTATGGATAATCTAGTCATTGCAATATACTGAGCCCTGGGCTAGTTATGTTTTATCAGTATGCGAACCCGCCGCGATGTCAAACTAGATGCAAGAATAAGGGGCTGCAGCAAAAGACCTCGAAAGCGTGATTATCAGTCGTCATAAACTAAATCTATAGGCGAATTGTCCATTGTTTCCTCTTCATCCTCCCGTACCAACCTCGCGTACTCGAGCAGCAGACGGTACATCTAAAATGAACAATCAGTGCGTCTGGGTGAGGTGTTTATAAAATGCAAGGACAAACGTAAACCTGCATATCCTCCCATCGCCACATCGTTCGAACAAACTTTGCCGCGTTCTCGCCGATTTGCTGTGCGAGATTATCATGTCCACCAGCAGTATCAATGTGGAAACCCTTGGATCCTTTGGCAGGAGGTCCGGCAAAAAATGCCATGACGTTATAAACGTCTGAATAGTCTTGCTGTATGGGCTAAGAATTTACCGACGTCAGACATGTGCTAAACTATAACTGCATGGCCAGACTCACTATATAGTGGTAATAAGGTATCAACCTGATAATATTATGGGTCGACTGTGTTTGAAAGTAAAGAAGGGAAATGAACAGACCAGTCAGAATTCCAATGCGGAAAAATTGTAGACTTCAGCACTACACTACGAATCGAAAGCCACATAAGCTTTCATGTGAGTATGTAAAGGTAAAGTCGTGTGTGTTTACCTCCCCAAGCCAAGCGACGTAACAAAATCGGCGCTGTGTCCGTTCGAATCTTACCAAGTATGCTTCAGGGGCGTTAGCCTGAGATATGCATACATTAGCTCACCTAAATCAAGAAGGTATTTCCATCGACTCCTTTCGACACCCCATACACCTCGGTCCTCACGCCAAGGTACTTCTTTCCGCATGGTCTCACATGTGCCATCATCTTTGTTGCACTGAATGGCCGGTTTGACGAGCCCAACATCCGCATAAATATCATTGAGAGTAGTGCGGAGGTAAGAGTTAATTTCAAGGCCGCCCTTCGACGACAAAGTGAGGACAGGCACCTCCCTTGGTAGGAAAGCGGGAAAAGTGGATTCAGAACCTAGGACAGTAGGACCTGTAGTTCAGCGACAATATAAAAGACCAATAGGAGCAATGATGTACCATTTGCAAAAGTGAACGCCGCGCGCATTCTTTGACTCCCTCCTTTCCAGCCAAGTGGGCCTCCACTGTGTTGACTGTGCGAGGCGCCTGTCGAGAAACCACGCCAAAACAGCTTGTTGTGCGTCTTCTCCGCCCATTGCCTACTATTCTTTAGAGTGAATGAGTCAAAGCCCTGTAAGAAATCAAACGAGTGAGTGAGAGATCATGACTGTGATCAAGTTCATCACCGCTGTATCAGGGAGCAGAATCTCCGATCCAAAGGGCATCTTTCCAAACACAAATTCGGGGAAAAGACGAGGTCCTCGGGCAACTGGTGCTGCAGACAAAGAGCCGTGTAAATGGACGAGGGACGGGTGCAAGCAAAGGTCAGAGGCGGGGGAAGGGTCATAAATAAAGGTTGGCGAATGGGCTGTTGCGGCTATGGTGTCAGATTCATATGATTTGAATTAAACTACGCGCACTTTGATCTTGTAAACTATTGGTGAAAGCAGTCATGAAACTCTTGGGCGGTGGACTCTGACATGCGCTAAAGATATCCTGTCTGCCATCTCGGAACGGGTTTTCGAACCTCTGGAGCGTGGGATGAGGAAACTCTGTCCTTTCAGATTAAAAATCAGTTTTTCTTTTAACAGCGTTTAGAGCAAATAGTACCGACCGCCTTTTCCTTCAGACATCCATTGTCGCATCTCATCGCCCAAGATCCTGCCACTTCTGTCTTCTCCGCTCCCGTAGATAGTAAGGTTAGGCAGCCCGCGAGACACACTCAAAGCGAGTGACTGAATGAGTTTCGCTCGCTTCTGCGTAAATGCCGGTCCGTGGAAAGTAACTTCATGCGATGGACGTATCTAAGATGATGTGTCAAAGAGGACACTCATGAATATATCATAGACCAACATCAATAATAAAACCAGATTTCTCGCAGGCTTCTCTGGCCTCCTCCAGCCGCTCACGCAAGGTGGAGCGAGGGAGCGCAAGAAGAGGAGCAATATCTCTGTCTATCTGATCGAACTAGACTCGCAATTCAATATAGGTATCGCAGTCAGCTGAGGGTTGCGCTCCCACCTCATCTATTAGAACGAAATCGTGATCAAGGGCGAAAGCATACCAATCATCGAAACCTCGTGGAGGCGACCTTTTGTATCTGCGTTTGTATTCGATTCTAGCTTGCTCTAGTGTCTTAGATTGTCTAAGAGCATAATTAGCATGATGGATGCCATATCGTCAAGACTAGGGGAACATATGCTTGATCACCCACTATCGCGTTGCACGCCATCTCCGCCAAAAATCAAGAATATCCTCACCTACGCTGAAGATCGTCCCATCTGGTCTTTGCGTGCTCTATAAGCTGCAGCATAGGATGATTCCCCCGCATGTTTGTCTTGAGCAGTCCGCTCGATAGGTACTCGTGTTTCGGTGAGTGCGCCAGGGCCCTCGGATCAAGGCGTTCACCTTCCTCAGATGGTTGTGACGTAGCTTCATCCCATATCGCACGAGGTTGAATACGGAATGATGAAGCTTCCCGGTCGTTGTCGAGGCAGCTGAGGACGAGCACTGATGTGATGACAGCCAAGATAACGGCGAAAAAAAAAGAAAGTCGAAAGACGGCGCAAAGCGAGGTCTTATCTACACCACGGGCCATTATTCGTAAGGTCAAGGTAGGATAAAGAGCAGGAAGATCAAGAGCAGCATCCAATTTCGCCCGGATTGGCGCAAATCTATCTGATTTTGGCCAAGAAGAGAGTTTTGGACGAAAGCCTTACATATTATCAAAAATACCCCAGAGCAATTAAAATGTAACGGCAATAGATCTATTATTAGGGAGTATTCGAAAGGTAAGTAGGAGGTGATCGTGAAGCAAGGCTTGGTGCGAACGGCTCAGCGCACGACCTCGGCATGAGTCTGAGAGAGCGACACGGTACAGCGGCGGATGGATACCCGTTATGTAACATGTCTGACCACCCCTTGGTGGCAGCTTCTGCCAGAAAACTCTCGAGCTAAGCAGCCTCCTCTATTCCAGCTTAGAACATAACAGCCACGCATCCCCTTATGCTCGCAACAAACGGGTTTACAGCGGAGCTCAAACAGGGCACGACGGCTTGAGAGCCGAAATAACCAAAAATTTACGCACAGAGGGAATCGAACCCCCGCCGCTTGCTCTCAGCAATGGAAGGCAAGCATGATACCATTTCACCATATGCGTTACGGTTCCATCTTGCACAGACTTGGTATCGGTCCATCGTTGAGTATGGTGTTTCACCCTCCTTTGTGTTTGCTCATTTGCCAAATCACCATTGTAGACCAAATACAAGTTGTCTAGTTGAGTTTGAACAAAACGAAGGCGAAGCCAAGCTTCCACCAAAATCTAACATGCGTGGGCCCTAATAATATCATCTCAAATCCTCAGCTGCCAGTGAGACTTAAAAGAAATATAGGGAACGAGAGACCGGTTCGCGACAGTTTAACGAGCTGACCGAACACAGAAATGAAACACGACACTGTAGTACAGGGATGATAGGAAGTGGCTGAAAGGCACGTTTGAGTGAGAGAAAAGGTTGAATGGTGTCTTGTCCACATAAATCGATTAGACAGTGCGGGCGGAGGATGCTTACGACGTGGCAAGGGAACCGAGGGTCGTTTCCGCACTTTATTCCAAAAGGCCCAGTCTCACCACTGCCTCCGAGCCACTCTAAATTGGACTCAGGACCCGTCGGTTAGAGTGGATTTCAATCAAGAAGACAGCTTGAGCTTGAAGGCATGAGAAGTCGAGGTGTGTACAGCATAAAACATCATGAACACAGATCCCACGATCACATCCAGTTGGGCCGGGAAAGTACTGTAGCACGAACAATCGATGTCAGGAACTTGACATCTTAATGATGCGAGGAACACGACACGCGGCCGCAGTCTTGTGCAGGCCAGGGCCTGAGGCATGTTCAAAGCACAGTGGCTGAAGATTATGCCGTCGGTTTCAGAAAGGCGACGATTGATTTCTGATTCCATAATATTGCGTCGGCGGCTAGACGGTTCGGGACTGACCTGGAGCCTGTTGTTCAACTGTATTCCCCGAGGTGTAGACCTGGGATAAAGAGAGGGGAGACACATATTTATACCCGATGTGTATGCGCCACACGGTTCCTTGACTTGAGGTTGTTTTATACTTCTACGTACCATTCGGCTCCGTCAGATACCTCTCAAGAATTCACCACATTATAACTTGGCGTGGGTCCAATCGATACAATCGGTGAGAGGAATGGAAGATGTTAAGTTAGTATTGCAGAACGTGTTCACTGGATTCAGGGATGTGAGGGATGTGCGACAGAGTAAGATCTAAGCTTTCTCAGTGACAATGGATGGCTTCCCGTGGGTCCGTGTACGTAAACTGCTGCGATTTGAAGCCCTTCCTGTATGTTCAAGTTTCAAACCAGTGTGCATGTCGCCCGTCACCGACCTAATATCGTTCGAGACGTCCTCTGCCTCCAGGGGACATATATAACCAAGAGTCCCCGATGAAGTGGAACGATTTTTCTGTCAAATCAATTCTCAATGAATACATTAAATGACTGTTTGAAATTAGAGCGGTTCTAGAGAGCGCTGCAGGAGTTTTCCCCTACCTGTTTCTCGAGAATCAGTAATGAAAGGCAAATGAAGGGGTGATGTTACCTCAAAGATTAGTATACGTGTCGATGAACTTTAAAGGAAGGCTGTACTGCAACTCCACCGACATACTGGATCAGGCTTGTGAACGTTGCATTTACGTTTTGTGAACGATTCGCCTTGAATCATTCGGCGAATCGATGTTGCCTTCATCGGCGCCGGGCCGTCCATGTGAGGCCTGAAGGCAGTCACAAGATCCCAATTCAAGTTGAAATAAAACGATAAGTAAGCGGTACGGATAACTTCGATCCTCTGTAGTTGCGCTGTGTATGTACGGAGTAAGGTGTGTTGAGAGTCTTCCAGATGTCTTTGGATTGAGGTGTGTCGCCGCCTTCCGACAATGGTGGTGAACCTATCATCGTATTGTTAGGGACGGCAGGACAGAACTTGTTGTACATACGTTTACTAGGGTCGTAATGCAGTCTAATACAAGTAAGCAAATAGATAAAAATCTCCTACTTAGTGACAAGGTTCCGGATTTTACCGAAGCTTCTGGACCGCTGGCACTAAGTAATGCAGGGGCCAACCCTGAAGAGTTAACTTTCACAATCCCTTCTGACGTTCTATGCGTTGATACTGGAGTGATTACAACCAAATGTGGACGTATGTTTCATCATTGGTTCCAACGTCGCAACCCTCAAAAAAATCAACAGGCTCCTATTTCAAATAATCGCTTTATCGGCTACTACCTAATAGTTGATCACTGTTCGTCCACTATCTGGGATCCTCTCATACGTTCTTGGCTCATGCTTGGGCTTGTGCCTACTGGAGGCACATTACAACTCGAACAACATCGAGGTCACAAGGCCATACTGGTAGGTGCAATTTGTACCTCGATCCGCAGCACTACCTTTAAAACCTTTACCAGCAACATGGATACTGATTTCATAACGCCCAGGGTACTTTGAATTAACCCGTCACCGTGAATAATAACAGACCCGGTGAACGTGATATACTACAAGGCTGATGTTTCCTGCCGTCTGACATCTGAATCAGCCATATTATAGGAAGATAACATCGCGTAGATGAATCGGTAGGTCAGATGAGCAAAGGTGCACTCAACTGTACAATTCGACTTAAGAACGACTTAGTACGTACCCTACTAGCGTAACTGCAGGAGACGGAAACTGGCAGTGCGAGTCAATTACGTATCGTTCATGTCAACTCCTGACTTTGAATGTTGCAGAAAAAAAGATGGATGACTGGAAGCCGGATTCCTTGTAAAAAGTTAAGAAATCTTTACAGCTTCCAGCTAGCATCATACGGCGGTTCCTCGTCGCTGTAGGCTACCGTCTCTGGATGACGCCCGTAAACATGCTGGCTGTACCTTAACCCCGTTGCCTGTGTCTCCTTTTGCATCCCTAGAATCGGCGCCCGCCGTTTAGGACACAGTCCGTCGATTCCTTTTCCATACTTATTCGCACAACTATTCAGTCTGAATCTTCTCTGCATCTCAACTGAGACGCCTTGCGTACGGCGCCAGTTCGGTACATTACGGCGCGCCCTCTTGCCTTCGTGAAGCCTAAGTGTGGCGTTCCCTTTATTGCAATGTGGTGTAGCTGGAGGGTATAAAAGATCCATATTCTCCACTCTAGTTAAACTCACCCCCACTCTTCTATATCATTGCCGCACATGTCCCAACCACCAGCTACAATTCCCCCGCCACCGAGCTCACCTGTGGATCTAAAGGATGTGCAAGGGGACATTATGTTTGTGATCCTCAATACGACGTGTCTGTGTGGCTAACCTTGAGTTCGCAGTCTCGGTATCCCCAAGCGAGTCGAAGACTTCATTTTCTTCACCATTGCCGGAAATGACAATGCGCAGTCCTTCCGCCGTGTCGTGGGGAGCAAGGAGTTTTTGAGTCTTATTACTTCCACCGCGTAATATCCTACTACACTCTCGGTTCGTCCTTTTTGATTTCTGTTTCAGGCAAGTCCAGGAGTATCGGAAGCAGATTAATGAGCACAAGGCTCAGTACGGTGGCAAAGAATGTCCTTTGATCCCGCTCTCCGCGGTAAACATCGCGTTCACACAGTCCGGATTGAATGCTGTGAGTGGTGATCACGGTATCGAACAAAGCGTACTTGATTGAGACTTCCTCTTCCAGTTGGGGCTTACAGACGACCTCGGTGACCCTGCATTTAAGGCTGGGCAGCTCGCTCATGCTCAAGCCCTGGGTGACACTGGCACAACAGTCAACGGAGTCTTCATTCCCTCCTGGTTCCCAGAATTTAAAGGTGAAATTCATGGCATTATCCTTGTACGTGAACCTTTAAGTGCTGTCCGAATATTTTCTTAATTCCATTTCAGATCGCGGGAGACAGTGTGAACAGCGTTCATGCGACTGAGCAGAAATTACTCGCGTTATTGGGCCACACCATCAAGCAAGTTTTCAAAGTTCCCGCTCGTGTCCGTCCCGGCAACCAGAAAGGGCACGAACACTTTGGGTATCTCGATGGTGTCTCAAACCCAGCTGTGAAGGGCATTGTAACACCCTTCCCGGGCCAACAAGTCATCGACCCCGGCGTCTTACTCCTAGGCCAAACCGGTGATACAGTCACCCGTCCTGCGTGGGCGAAGAACGGTAGTATTCTCGTGTATCGTCACCTTGACCAACTCGTGCCAGAGTTTGACAAGTTCAAGCGTGATAACGCCCTGAATGTGGCCGAGCTCGGCGTCGACCAAGGGGCAGAACTCCTGGGGTCTAGGTTCTTTGGCCGGTGGAAAAGTGGTGAGGTGTTTTCGATGCTCATTCATTCAATGCTTCGATTGAAATCAAACAAATAACTAGGTGCTCCGATTGATATAACCCCCCTTAAGGATGACCCCGTTCTCGCTGCCGACCCGCAACGCAACAACAACTTTGATTTCTCTAACGTGAACTACAGTCGTAAATCTTGTCTTCTAAACTATACACTAAGAAATCCTTCCCACAGCCAACTGACCAATCACACTGCCCATTCGCGGCCCACATCCGTAAAGTAAACCCCCGTTCTGATTTGGCCCAATTCGGAGGAGTTCCTCCTCATTCGATCACCCGCACCAGCATTGCGTTCGGTCCCGAAGTCACGGATAAGGAACATAAAGATAACAAGACTGAGCACGAGAGGGGACTGGCGTTCGTTTGCTACCAGAGCAACCTCGCTGATGGGTTCGAGTTCCTGCAAGAGGGTACGATCCTACTTCAATTAATATTACGCCGTCTTGAACTTTTTTCTCCTCTCAGCCTGGGCGAATTCTCCCTCCTTCATATTTGGAAAGCAAGTAGATGGCAAGCCGTTTTCGCCGGGTTTTGACCCGAGTGCGTCCGTTATTATCAATTGGGTTGCAAGAGTCTCACTATTGTTCCAGTCATTGGCCAGAACGGCGGGGATCCCAAGGGGCGCGAGATGGGTGGGTTTAACCCCGCCGCCCAAGGTAGTGACATCAACCTTCCCATCGAATGGGTGGTTTCCAAGGGAGGGGCGTACTTCTTCTCACCATCGATTTCCGTGCTGGGAACCAAACTTGGGATTTCTAATTGATAATATTGTCTTTTTTGAC